GTCGTCACTTCCTGCTGCAGCTATTGTAGCTAGAGAAAAATGCAGCAGTCACAGTACAAAATGGCGAACTTTCGAGAAAAAAAAGTTAATCCTACTCGATGCAGAAACAAATATTCAATAAATAATAATAAATAAAAAAAAAACGCACAAAAAGCATTACGAGATAAAAATAAAGTTTGATATTTATATTATAGCGGATTCGATTATTCGCGCTAAGTTTGTATAAACATTTGTTACGTCCGGGGGACTTTACGAATTCTTCTCTTTTGGAAAAAGATAACGGCTGCTAATCAGAAAATGAAGCGCTTCGAACGATCTAAAGAAACCCTAAATAAATAAACAAAAATTCCTGTCGAGATACGTCTCACTATCAAAAAAAATAATTCTTGGGATAGACAGCTTTGTCGGCATCGACAAGTTTATAACATACCAATAAAAATAAAAAAATATTAACAAAAGCAAATTCCTAACGGATAAGAAACGCGTCGGATCGTTCGAGGGTCACTCCCCAAATTGGTGGGGAAATTAAAGGAAACGCCAATCAAGAAGAAACGATTAGCGGTCGTTGGCGGCCACACCAATGAATGATTGAGGGTGTGGAATGGCGGGAAAATTTTCACTAACTAATTCCATCATTCGCTAGAAAATCTGGAAATATAAAAACAATCACAATTCACAGAACACCGCTTCCCTCCTTCCTCTATACTCACAATTTTTCTAAACTATCATTCGGCAAGCCAACGCGGAAATCCATCACGCCCTCAAATATTCCCACCCCTTCGGAACCCTTTAAAAATCGCGACTTGGAGCGGATCGCTCTCTTCTCGCTTCTCATCGTTCCACACCATCCGAGGTTGTCGAAAAATCTTTTCCAGTTAGAATCTGTGCGCAATTCTTACATTTTTCGTGTGATTCGATCCACGATCCAGCCTAGTCACCACACTTCTCGTCCATCACCAGCGGCCGCTACAACAAAAGTAAGTCCATCTTTATCACTTTTTCCCGTGGTAGACTGGCTGTTTGGTTCGCGATCTCTACATATTTGTTTCATTAAAACACTCCAACATTCCAAATTGGCAAGCCGCCGATTAACTCAGTAAAGCTGCCTTCCCCGATTTCTCCACACTCCGACTTGGCAAGTCGCCGATTAACTCAGTGAAACTGCCTTCCTCGATTCCACAACATTCCAACCTGGCAAGTCGCCGATTGATTCGGTGAAGCTGCTTTATCACGATTCCTCAATTTCTTTTTTTTTTACCACTCTCATCTCACACTCTCTCTCATCTAACTCTTATTTACATAGTGAACCGAACGAAAGCCATCCCGAACAACCCCAACGAAACGGGCATTGCGATACCGTCGGGAGAAGTTAAATAAGCGGATTCGTCGAAACCGGACATGCCGAAGAACTCGCGGAGCAGTTAATAGACGTAGAACCGAGACTAGTTAACATCACCTTACAACAGTACGCCACCGTCCTCCGCTCCGCGGCAGATTTTGAAAAACAATGTACTCCAGAGAACTTCGACGTGGAGAAGTTCTTCTCGTCCGTCAATTTCCCCGCTCTCCCACCCATCCACCTCCTGGCACCTTTTTCATTAAAAGAATTCAACCCCGACAGCCAGTTTTGGGATCAAATCTCAAGACACCAAATTACCGATACCATCCCTATGTACATTTGCCGTGACCCTCTTCCCTACCTCGTTCCAGTGAAGGCTTTCCGCAGCGCTCACTCTGATCCCCCGCCACACCTGCAACCCGATCCCATCGATATGCTCGCGACCACCAATTTTTTGCCCCAATTGGAACAATTGGGTATATAAATACCAGATTTTTTTTGTTTGCTTTGTTATTTATTATTATTTGAAATTTACGTATAAAATTTTTTGTAACCAATATTTCTACACTTTAATGTATACAGAAAAATTTGCGAATTAACATATTGTAATCCTTTTATTATTATTATTATTATTAAATCAGTTAACTCGAATTCCGTCTCAATTTATTTACCCTAAAACTTGATCCCGAATCATTCACGGCTCCCTGAGGATCGCACGAGGTCCATCCCTGGTAAAAGAGATTCGGTTCTCTGACCAAAAAACGAACCACTGATAGCGCTGGCGCAGGTAAGGGTTATAACGTCACCGACGCTGACCCGATTCCTGTTCCCTTAACGCGCGTTCGACTCGCGGATCGACCTTACGACGTCGGTCTGCGAAAACAGAAAAGGTTCCGTGCGTCCACCCGAGTTCTTCTCCTCCTGACGGAAGGTATTACCTTTCCTCCAGAACCTCGGACGTAACACATTATTATATACGAAATTATTGCTTTAATTGCTTTTTAGGAGAGATCGTGCATCTATCTGATTTTCCATCCCTTTCTAAGATTGGTCCTATTAATAACAATATAAAAAAAATGTATTCCGATGTAATCTAAAATAAATATATTTTAGTAAAATTACAGAAACCAACATCGCTCTGGAGTACCGGTCGTGGGGATTCGAAAAAATATATGTATATATGTATATTGTAATATACGTATATATATATATATATATGTGTGTGTGTGTGTGTGTGTGTGTGTGTGT